TTTAGACTACGTGCCACGCAAAGGAAGTGACAATAGAGCAGATCTGGGCATATTTGAAATGAAAGTAAGAAATAATTATTTGAAATAATTAATGTGGGAACTTTATTTCCTAATACTGTTATTTGAAAAATAACATATAACAAGATGTATGTGTTGAATTTTTCATAAACAATTATACTGCATATCCAAAAAATTGTTCACTTTTTCCTCTTATTTAACAGCTCAAGGGTATGTAAGCACTTAATGCCCCAGGATTATATTCAGATAGTTAAAGAACTCAAAATCCAAAAGTGAAATTTTTGCACGGTTTGTCCCACTGTACGGTGCTGGGGATAGCAGAGTCGCCATTTTGAATTTTCAGTGTCGAGCAGGAAGGATGCAAAAGATAAGGACTCGTGAAGAATTCGTTCGCGTTCTTGCGTTTCCTCGCCATTTAAAGTCGGTGTTAAATTCCGCGCTGGCGATGATTAATCCTCTGACCCGACAATTTTCCATTCAAATCCCATATCTGCGTTGCCGAATTATCGGCCGGACACGTGTTTACGTTAAAGATTACCCACACACAAACACATACATATAATAAAGATTACCCCCAGCTCGTAATCTCGTTTCCTAGAAGATCGAGAGCGCACGCGTAATTGATCTACAGCCGATTCCCTACTAGTTAGACGTTTGAATCTGAATTTCGAAGCGATTCGAAGTGTTTCCAATAGCGTGAAATTCATTCGAATCATTGACGAGCATGATTCAATACCCGAAACTCATGAAAATTTTGATAAGTCTTGAATCTTGAGGCTTTAAGGGGTCATGGCCACTGTGAAGCTTTAAAAAATTGCCAACTTTTGGGCATTTTTTTTCAGCAAACAAAATATTCAACATAAATGAAGTGTTGTCTATTTATTAATACACTTATTGGGAGTAATAAAAAAATTCGATAAGCCCTGAAAGTCTTGGAAATCTTGATAGTTCTCAATCTCTTGAATGTTTCGATATAGGTTTTGAAAGCTGGGCGAGCATTCAGTATCTCACAAAATTAGTTCTGAATGCTTTGAATGCTTCTGCAAGATATCGAATTTGTATGCACGCCAAGTTTTCAAGATTTATCGAAATTTTCGAGATTTTGCAAAACACCCAAGGCTTTCAGAACCTATCGAATCTTTAAGACTAATCGAGACTCAAGATTCAAGACTTATCATCACTTCAAAGAGTTTTATGTAACGAATCAAGGTTCGAAATTATTCGAATTTTTCGCCTGATGTATGCACAGTCAGTCAAAAAAGTCATCGCACATCTTTTAAAACAGAACGACTTTTTTAAAAGTTGACCAAGTGACTTGAGCTTTTTTGTGAAGTTAGAAGACTTTACTAAATGATGTGTCACAACATTTTTTTAATAATTTTCAGTTGGTTGGAATTGCGAAGAAAATATTAAAGATTAAGACTGTGGGCACATATTCGAAGCGATTCGAAATGCTTTCGAGCCCACCACTACCCACACGAGCCCTCGAGACTCTCGGACTTCAATCGAAAAAATCGGTGCCGGAATAACGGAACGTCCGCGAACATGCGCAAACATTTTCAATATCTGCACGGGATGATTGTTTATTAGAAACACGGGGGTTATCGGAGGCGCACGTTCGTCGTATTTACAAGGTATTTTTGGATTCATGTCACGCACTTCGTCGATCTCGGGTCGAATAATCGTTTAGAACGAGGTTTCGGTGATTTTCACTCGATCCTTATTTCACTTCAAAATTATTTTAACGATCACAAAGAAATAGATTTTTTTTGTATTTCCATCTGCCACATAACATATACTGCCATCTTTAATTAAAATGTCCAGTCTAACAAATTATGGTAATTATTCACAATAAGGGAGCCACCTCCGATTTCAATGACCTAGAAATGTGCTGTTCCCATATTTTGAATAATTATCCAAATTGTCGTTTTTCAAGATTCTTCGAAATATTTGGAACGCCATATGCTTTCCACTTTTTAGTTAAAGTCAGAATGTCCTGTGTGCTTTGTAGGGCTCTAGAAACAGCAAACGTTGCGGTCATAACTGGGAAATTCAAATAAATTTAAAAGATTTACTTATTTTGTGTTTTAGTGAATTCTAATTTTCTAAATTGTAATGCACGTGAATATAATTAACTTTACATATAAGAATATTGAGTATTGACTATACACGGGAAAACTGAACACGCAGACACGTATACTCATACTACTTACCAAAATATATTTTTTAATTATAATATAATGGCGAATGATAATTGGAAATGTCGTTGAAATTCATAGATATAATTTTTATACGCTATTAAAATGTATTAGTGGGTGTTTAATACCAATTAGTAATATGATGCTTTATTGACTAGATGAATCACCTTAAAGCTAAACGTGAGCAACGGCAGGCTGCTCTCGCCTCGGAAAACAGCGTGTGAGCAGCGAGAGAAGAGGACAAAAAAAAAGGTGAACCGCGGGATCGCGATAAGCCACGGGAGACGGAAGAGAGAAATAGAGAGAGGGAGAGAGAGAAAAAAAGAATTGTGATTGCACGTGACACAGGACTATCGTAAATCGATTTATCTCCGACTCGACTAAACGTTAAACTCGCGATATTACCGTCCCCACAGGAATGAATCTGAATAAAAATCGACCCCGATGTTTCGGGTCGGGGACGCTCGGTGACTTTCCTGATACAGCCGTTTTTGTTGGTTGTTATCCTATAAGGCTCTCGGAAGTATCCATTTTGGGACCTTAAACCTAGGGTGCATAACGTGAGTATGTTATATCCATTTGAATATTAATTCTTAGATTTCTTTCTGGTATAATGAAATAATTGCATGTGGCTTTGTGTATTCCATCCTTCCGAATTTATATGTATATATACAATATATATGTATATATATTATTAGTTCGAAACTGTTCAAGAAAAAAAATAATTCAGAGTTGGTTAGAAACAGTTCAAGAACAAAGTTAAAAGGTATAATTGTTCTCTTAATAACTTTTTAATAAACAACATTTAATAATTGAAACTTTCAACTTAAAAACATCATCGAAATCGGAGGTAGCTCCCTTATTGTAAATATTTACCCAATTGGTTTTACCCCATAGCCCTGTATAGATTTGGTTTACACATCCAGTGGACTCTAATGTTTATTAATTGAAAAAACATAAAAATAAAATTAAATATAAAACATATAATATAATACAAAGTAAATTTCTACAGTTTAAAGCATCCTTAATAAATTTCAAAGCTCTCATTCAATTATCTGTCGTAGTTTTCCATATTTTAATTGCCAAAAACAAATAACCTATTTTTGTGGGCTCCCTCTGAAATCGAATTTGAATTTCACCGGAAATCGAATTCTCGTATCCAATTCCTCGTCCCGAGTTCACCGTGGAATGAATTGCTGCTTTCGGAGCATTACAATTGCACCGGACCAGGGACAATTTCGTCTGGAAAAAAAGGAGAAAGAAATAGGAAGAGACCACGGCCGAAATTAACCGAACTTGAACTGTACACGTGTAAAAAGAACGTTCTACTGGACTTTCTCGCCGGGAAGACAGGAGGTTCTCTCTTTAACGATTGTTCCCAGCCGGTGAAAATGCAATTACGTTTGAAACGGTGAACCACGCCGGAAATTACCTCGGACTCCAATGTCTTATTCAACGGCCCTGCGGGCGTTACAACGTTTTCGTTTTCCTTTGGAAAAATCCTATAGAGCGTGCGGAACACGAGAACCGGCACTACAGAACATTCGTCAAGGAGATCCCCCCCCCCCCACTGCCTCTCGTTAGAATGTTGTACAATCTGCACAATGTTGACCCTTTCATTTAGAAATTATTTAAAAATTACCGAAGAAATATATTGTTGTATTTTTGTATGTATTACATGACATATAAACGATTTGCAAGAACATTTTAACATTTTGAAATCGTCTGTCCACTTTCTGATCTTTAACTGTATGTAAATCTTGCGGAAATTCTTATCGACGAAAATACAACAGCGGTGACCATTGACAATCGAGCTATCGTTCGCAAATAGAGATAGGTCGGGTACGTTTGGTACATAGCGTGTAAACCCCAAGTTTAAGTAACTTCAAAAGACCATTGAAACTCTACATTACTCTACATTTTCGACGGAGAAACAATCACTACCTTCGAATTATTGAATAGACTTAAGAAACGGTAAACATTGCATTAACTCCTCTATGTTTGCAGTTTTGCTCGGAACAAGATAAAGACTTAATATCACATTAAAAATATTATATTAAAACATACACAACTTAGAACAAAATAATCTTTACCATCGGAAAGAATGAAAAATTTGATACAGGAAATATGAAATGTCAGTTTAAAAAAAAAAATGTTACTAAGGCATATACATATAAAAAGACTTAATACACTTTGACTCAGGGGTCCAGATATGAAATTCTTTCTCAAAAATCTTTCCCCAAAGAGAAGTTATTAAATTTTGTCCATTTTCCTATATCCATCGAGCACTGTGTGCACTGTCCGTTTGAGAAAAGCCACCGTGATCTTAGCTCCATGGGCCTGGTGCACAATGAGTACGACGGACGACACGTAACGAGTGACGAATCGAACACGACCTATGACGTGTGAACAACCACCAACAATAACAAAGCAGGCCCCTTTGATACCAATAGCACAAACACAACACAAAGGGTTCTGTAATCTCGCGACAGCTGGTTTAGGAAAAATGTTTCAAGGGAACCGTCTCTCTCGACCGATTGACTCTCGTTTTCCTTCTGTGGGGGGGTTCTCTCTCTCTCTCTCTTTTTCTCTCACTCTTTCTCTCGTTATCTCAGTGTCAGCAATGATGAATCGGGTACACACACGGGCCGTATGCCAATGTCCAGCAGCCATGGGGACACCGGCGATGACCGTTTGCCCGCGGTGTCGAAAAGTGGGGGCCCGCGAGAGCATAAAAGCACGGACGTAGAAAACCGTCGACGCTTTTGTGGTGTTTCACTCGCGTGGCCGCCTCGTGTCCGTAAGCTGAAGATATTCGTGTGACAAAAGTGTGCGACGAGACGAACCGCGACAGAGACTTCTACATTACACACGGGGACGCCATGGGGCATCCACCAAGACGCGCGGGGACGATCCTCGCATGCTTGTTCCTGGTGTTCGCCGCCGCGGAATCGGCCGGTAAGCTGATCGAGAAGATACGATTCTTACGAATTCACCCGAATCCGCTGCTGCGGGCCTAGTATGCCGTTAGAGACACACCATAGGGTATTAGATATGCTTCGAAGAGTTTTGGATTGAAATCTTTGTACAATTTTGCGATCTGGACCCCAGAGTGTATTAGGTCCACTTTAAAAAAAAAATGACATTTCACCTGTTTCCTGTATCAAATATTTTCCCCTTTCCGATGGTAGATTTTATTTCGATCTAAGACATTTAGTTTTTAATATAATAGTCTGAAAATGATGGAAAGTCCATCACGTAGGGGAATTAAAGCAAAGTTCACCATTTCTACATATAGAGACTTGTCTTGAATCTCTTCAATAGTTCAAAGGTAGTGATTGTTTTCCCCTTAATTCTTAGTGAACGGTTCCAAAGTTATAAAGGCTTTCGCACCACTGATTTGCTCTCCGCTAAAGTTTGAAAAGTGTGACTTAATACACTCTGGCTCTGAGGTTCAGAATCTGCTTAACAATACGATTACACATTTACATATCGTGGATGTAAAAGACTTGCAGCAGCGTATATAGTATAAAACGAATGTTTGCATTCATAAATCAGCACTACTATAAAAATAAAGATAATATTAGTATGAAAACATACTAATTACATTTTGTATACATCTAAATTGTATGTTCTGTACATATCGAATCTTGATAGTTGAGACAACGTCTATTTTTTCTACATTTTCTGTTCCCTTTGGTTCGGCACATAAAGCAACGTTTTTTGTGTGGGAATCAAACACGTAGAAATTTTCTTTCTTCTCCAAAGTGGGGGTTAACAGTAACGTGGAATTGTTAGAATGACTGAAATACATTAAAGGAGAAAATTTCCTTTTTTCGAGTAACAGAAAGAAAGGGCCAGAATTTAATATCAGTTACGGAATGTCGTGATCTTCGGGAACAATGTTGGAAGATTCATGTTCGCAGCACAGTGACGGGAAATGGCTGTAAATATATTTGACTTAAAGCCTGGCGGTTTTCAGAACCAAGAAACACGCAAAACGACTGCTTTTCCTTCGTATAAACGAACGCAAAGTTCATTTTCTCTTATGAAATATGCCCCTAGCCGTTTTGTTGAACAACGTAGATATTTAAGTTTCTGAAAACACGGACAAAGCCTTCTTAGGGTTCGTCCAATATTTACGAATTCCATTCAGTGTGAGCAAACCATCAAATATCTCGTCGCAAGGAAAACGAATATGGACTTTCGCCCACGTTCAAAAGTAAACGGCTCGATACAGTAACTGGAAATATTTATCGCATCGATCTCGAGATTCACGTGGTACCGCGCAATTTTCACATCGATATACAAGATGGATCGCCGTAAGCACTTCACCTAGAATAACTTTTAAAGTGGGCATCCTACGAAAAAAGTGTTTTATATCAAAATCGCACGGTATCGAGAACATGTATGATGCTGAAACGGTTTTCTTTAAATAATCCATTTGTTTATGAGATGTCAAGGTGACCTTGATAAATTATTAGGTTTAGAACAAATAAAGCTTGATACTCTTTTACAGAAAATTTGTTATTCTTTGACATTTTTACAGAGAACAGTTGACGTTTCATTTAAAAAATTCAAGGTCATCTTTGCTATCCCGTAAACAAATGGATTATTTAAATACGTTCTCTTCGACAGCGTAGGCAATTTCTATATAAAACACTTTTTTGTAGTACCTACACATATTTTAGAAGTCACTTGGGGGCGGACAAGTTATACCACTCCACCCTGTACGATCGATAAAATGACTCGGCTTATCTTTTGTCCAAGATGGTGAGCCACACATTTGTCCAACAAATATGTGTTTCGATTAATAATTTCCCTCGTGTACTAATAACAAGCGATAACGTGTTTAAACTTTTAATTACGGCTGTCGTCAACAGACGACAAAGCAAGAAACATTCTCGTATAATGTTTACGAATAGTGAAAGTGATGGTAGTGAAGTAGACGATGACTCAAATAGTGTTGACAGTGATCAGGAAACTATTTATTATTTCCTATTTGTAACTTTCATTATTATCACTTATTGACCCATTTTATTTTTTACGTTTGAATGGCCAGTCTCATAAATAAAGGGTTAATACGTTCTGGACGGCAGCATTGAATTGTTGCCAATAAAGAACCCCTAACCTGCGAACTGTGCAAAGTTCACCTGACAGTGGAGCACATCATCACTCGAAAAATGTATTCCAATGTTTATTCGAAACATTTATTCGTATTTTTGTTCGAATAATACCAAACTTTACCAATGACCCACTCCGGTTTGTCATGTCGTCTTTAATATTCCTGTGATGAGATTAATATCTCCAGTACCGTATACGTCTTCCTTTGGGAGTAGTCCTCCAGGTCTGGGTAGCGAAGTTACCCTCCCATCGTGGAGAAAATTAGGGAAAACAATGATATATGTGCCTCCTCGAAGAGAATAAATACTAGGAAGGTCCTGGCGAGTTTTAGATGGAGGAGATCCGGAACAGCACAGTTGTGTGTCTGGTCAGAAAAATGATGATCCCGTGAGAACGACGCGACAGACGATAACACACGTTCCCACTCGCAGGCTCTATATAATACACTACACGGTGATCGTCGATCCGACGTTCGTTCGTTCGTCGACGGGATAGAGGATCGTTCTTTTACGATGGAATTACGAGAAAAATGACGCTCGGCCCCTTTCGAAGCAAAAATTTTCGGTCCTGGCCGGCTCGTAAACGGAAAGCAAATGGCGTCCTTTCCCTTCTTTCTTTTTTTTTGTCGTCCGTCTTTTAGGGAAAACTGCCGGATTTTCGCCGCCCCGGGAAAACATTTTCTTGGCTGTTTTTCTTTTCTCTTCGTCGCGGGAAGAAGACGTGGACGAAAAAAGGGGGCGAATTGGCGGGGAGAAAGAGAAAGAGCAAACGATCCAGTGTGTAAAAAAAGCCCGTATACTTGCGCGTGTTAAAGGGCAAATGATAGGACGTGGAATCATTTATGAGTTGAGAAAAGGGTACATTATGGAGATGGGCAAATTTCAGACTGTTAAATGTTTGTTTTTTTTTCTCTCTTTTTTTCTTAACGAATCTCTCCGCCTCTGCTTTTTTTCTCTATGGTTCGTCTGGCATTGCGAAAGGTTCAGAAGTGCATGGGAACGCTTCCAGCTGGTCCTTTTCGAGAAACTCTTCTTTCTCAATTGGCCACAGTTTCGCAATGACAAATTCTAGACTTATTTCTGCTCTTAATCCTTTAACGCCCAGTGTTGTACCGGCGCAACATTCATTTTAAAAGAGCGACAAACTCTGTCGCCGGTTAATATCTAACTTTTGTCAGCAAGGATCCGTAGTTTCACTAATATAAAGTAGATCTCCACGATTTCAGTTGAGAAATTCAAGTATTCCGTCCAAGAATAAATAAAAAAAAAGGAAAAAATGAGAAGAAAATAGATCTGTTTAATATGGATATTTTTGATTTCAAAATAACAAGATACAACATTTATATCAGTCTTATTATTTGGAAGTACCGCTTCAAGGGTCGGAGTGTTGAAGGGTTGAATTACAGGGACAGGACTGTTTAGCTATAATCATAATTATCGAATTATGGGAGCTACTATACTTATAGTATGAACGATCCATCGAACGATTGATTGAAGTTAACACTTCGACTGCCACAGTGATATAGGCCGCATGTAGCCAGACACGGTTTATTTCGACTTTTAAGTCATAAATCGTCGAATATATATGCGTTTAGTTAATAAAGGCTTTTGGTCTTGTTTTAAATTATACTGCGATATTAATTTTACGAAAAAATTTTGTAATGGTATTTAAATAATCTAGCCTCTTGGTGATTAAAAATTAGGTACCAACACCTTCGAGAACTTAAAAATTAGGTACCAACACACCTTTAATTTTATTTTACCTCTTTTCTTTTTTTATTTCAACTGTGTTCCTTTCGAGGTTCTCTGGTCTCATTCTCTGGAATTCGTGAGAACCGTCGAAAATGGATTTTCAAGTTTTCCGTTTTCTTACCCCTTTCGCGCCCGTTGAAACGAACGAAAGTAAATGAAATGACTGCAATTTTAGAGAGAATCGTATAACTCGCGTTTAATATAGAATATAATGTTTTAAAGTAATGTTAATCGTCTCCATGCAACTTTTATCGCAGTATAGGACGGCGCACTACATACGTTATCGAAATGTTTGGACATCGTTTCGACACTCGAGCAAAGTGTTACAATATCTTAATTATTTCTGCTTGCGAAATAATTCACGGAAACACACGCTGTCGTAATCCCTTCTGTTCGAGGACGATTCAGTTGTATTTGCAGAGCTCCTCACCGTTTTCCGGGGAACAAACGAAATGGATTAATGGTATTCATTCTGGTACGCCGCTCTCGACCCGTTATCAAATGAATCTCGATGCTTTTGTAATCGTTCGTGACGCAGACCGCTTTGGGTCGGACTATTATTTGCTATTCGCACACCTAAAATTATTCGGAATTTCCACATGGAAAATTCTCTGTGTTCTTAAATGTGCAAAAGGAAAATGGAAATCCATTACTAATTAATCCTGTCGTTGTGTTTCGAGAATATTAATCATCTGTGTCTTATAGGTATTGTATAGTATTTGAAGTTCTAATTTAGAAAAACCTGACATGTTTGATCATATTTTCCCATAAAACAAAAATTTCCCTGGACACTTCTATCGAAGTCCCCCTAGCAAACCTGTAAAATTTCCAGAAAATAAAAGAATATTCGAATCTTCGATACGTCGACGGTCTCCAAAAATTTCGCCTATTTCTCTCCAGTCATTCGGTTCATGACGCACAGAAACACATTTTTCTTTTCCATGTTGACATCTTCAATGGTGGATTCAATTTACGCGGGAAGAGCCATCAACCGTGCCACAATTGGCCGAGAAACCACCCTCACACGCAGCAACAAATTCTCATTCAAGTTTGTTCAGGGGGCGGGGGGGGGGGGGTCCGTTC